AGGTCACTTACTGGGTCCGTCTACACTCGCAAATTTCCCTGAATGGTGTTAATACATGCATGCGTGCCTCACCACCCTTATAGGCCTGACAATCACTGAACGTATATATAATTTCCAATTTTTTGTTTTTATTATGTTATATTAGCTGTTTAGGACGTTAAGACATAGGTTTCTGTTCTTCACCCTGTTTATAACCTAGACAATCATTGCAGATGGAAAAAATGTTTATATTGTTTGATAATACAGTGACAATATACAGTGACAAAACATTCACATCAGTAAACAATTTTCTATTATCTCTAGTTTGCAAATCCCGTATTTTTTAATCCAGACAACAGCAATAGGATTGAGTTCGTTGAACTGTTGGTAAACAAACATTCACCCTAATAATCTTTATTTATGTTTATACCTTTGAATTGAGCCAGTTTATTATGAGTCTTCAGGTGAACAGTTTTGTGACTCGGGTTACTTCATTGCAAATTTCGCAAAAACCATTCAATAATTCGTCTCAAATTTGTTATCAGGTATCACCAATTTAGTTATTTTTCTTACATATTGAAAATATTTCCTTTCCTTAATGTTTATGATTATTCCGTTTAATTACTATTTGAACCCATTTTCAACATTTTTGAAAGATCAAATAATAAAATCTCTACAAGAAAGACTTCTTTATCGAGAGATTTCAAAAAAATATAAATTGTTATTATTGGGGTAATAACAAAACCTGAAAGATCTTCCGGAATTTACGACAGTTGTTTTAAAAAGAAGAGGAGTGGTTTTAAAAACAAAATTTTCCGAGGCCAAAAGGCGTTGTATCTACGCGCTCAGTTCGATCAGGACAGGTTGACAATGCTGTCCAAACCCAGCGTAGGCCGCGTGATAATGATAATATGGATGTCAGTGCTGAAACAAACGGAGATGTTTGATGAGGCCGGATTAAGAGCGACGGGAAGTGAAGAAACCATTGCCGACCAAAAATTGGCTTGATGATCGTGGTTTTAATGCCGTGGAATGGCCCCCACAGTCACCTAACCTTAATCCAATTGAGCACTTGTGGAGAAAACTAACAAATGTTTAGCCGATGCAGCAGGAGTCGCTTCAAACTTCGATCAACTTGGGGAAAAATCTCAAGTTGAATGGGACCTAATTGATCCAGAACAGTACAGAAATATCGTAAGAAGTATGTCCAGAAGGACTGATGCAGTTTTGAAAGCCAAAGGAGGACAAACAAAATATTAAAGGACTTTCTATGACACAATCATATTATAGTTCGCACACGGTAATTTCTTTTCTATTACTTTAATAATCATTATAAAGGAACAATTTAATTTTTTGGGTGTTTTTTGTGTTAAGATAAATAAAATTATTAAAAAAACTACGGTTATTTGATGTCCTACAATTGTTTTGAAAAGTAAATAATGATATAACCCAATTTGCATTCAGCTGTGAACGAATCTGTGGGTCACTGTATTAAGAATTTTGAAGCTATATTAGTATTTATAATAATATTAAGAAATGTGGTTGGTTTGAGTTCCTCACTCTGGTTATAACCTTATTTCGCCATGCATCAACCCTTTCCGCCTTTCGCGGCACTAGGTCACTTTCTGGGTCCGTCTACACTCGCGAATTTCCCTCAATGACAATAATGGCATTAATACATGCATCCGTGTCTCACCATCCTTATAGGCCTGACAATCACTGAACATTACAATTGCCACAAAAACAATTTTATTATTGTATATTAGCTATTTAGGAAGTTGAGCAATAGGTTCCTCACAACAATCATTGCAGATGGAAAAAATGTTTATATTTTTTGATAATGTTAAGAATTTATAAGCTATATTAGTATTTAATAATTATATTAAGAAATGAGTAGTCGTTTTGTGCGTTATGTATTACTTTTTGGATTGTCAAGCGCTTGTCAGGTTTTCACAACTTTATCTGCTTTCGGTGCCTCACCCTTCTTATAACCCTGACAACCACTGTAGATGGAAAACTGAAAAAAATCATCTGCTATATGAATTCAATGATTTTTATTTTGATCTGATGCATTTTGTTTTATATTTTATTAAATTGATTTCGTGGACCGATTGAACAAATACATTATTTTCAATTAATTAATCTTTAAATATGGTATTGGTTGAGATAAAAAGGAAAAATAGCAAAAAGAAGGGAAAATTAAAAAGGTGATGATGAGATGGGGAGTTGGTGTCCGAGTGGATCGAATTCATGATAGCTCAAGTGGTAGAGCAGCGGCATATTTAGCCGAAGGTAGTGGGTTCGAATCCCGCTCCTGACACTGACTTTTTTTATCTCAACCAATACCTTAAATAAAGATTACTTAATTGAAAGAAGTTATTTGGTCAATCGGACCACGAAATCTAATGGATTTAATAAATAAAATAATGTATATCTTCACTAAAGGAGCGGCGTATACAGGGTGAGTCATTTTTTGACGCACCATTGGAACATCAACGCGGGTGCGTTTAAATCTGACTCGAGGCTTATTTCCTTTGATTAATACGTTAATAAAAGAAAGTGAGTCAATTTTCGGTGCACCATTGGAAAATCAAGGTTGGCGCGTCTAATTATGACTCGGCACATTTTATTTTGTTAGTCTCGTACCAAAAAATAGGCGAGTCACTTTTCGACGCACCATTCGTTACAAATTAGTTTTAGTAGGTTGGAAGGAAAATAAACAAAACCAACATTATTATAACATTATGCAAACACAATGTAAAAATTTAAAAAAAATCTTCACAAATTAATCTGATTAAGGTTTTAGAGTATTTTTTTCGTCCGATCATCGTTTTACGATAGACTAGGCTACTGTGTTGCAGCAAATGGAGGTCTGTTGGAACAATTAGTATAACGATTTTGAACATTTTTGATTTGCTAACAAAGGAGATTGTTACATTTATTTATTTATTTTTTTACTTTACCAGAAAAAATGAAGAATTTTTTTAAATTTTTACATACTGTTTGAATAATGTTTTAATAATATTGGTTTTGTTTATTTTCCTTCCAACCTACTAAAATTAATTTGTGACGAATGGTGCGTCGAAAAGTGGCTCGCCTATTTTTTGGTACGAGGCTAACAAAATAAAATGTGCCGAGTCATAATTAGACGCACCAACGTTGATTTTTCTATGGTGCACCGAAAATTGACTCACTTCCTTTTTTTAATGTGTAAAAATCAAAAGAAATTGGCCTTGAGTCTGATTTAAACGCACCCACGTTGATTTTCCAATGGTGCACTGAAAATTGACTCACTTTCTTTTATTCACGTATTAATCAAAGGAATAAGCCTCGAGTCAGATTTAAACGCACCCGCTTTGATTTTCCAATGGTGCGTCAAAAAATGACTCGCCCTGTATACCCGAAGGTCGTGGGTTCGAATCCCGCTCGTGACACTGACTTTTTTAATCTCAACCAATAACTTACTTAAGGATTTATATTTTATGTAGATCGGTCATTTCTGGTCATTTTGGTTTATGTACTCGCTGTTTTTGGATGTGAGACGGCTTTTCGATCAACTTCAGTCGTTTGTGCAGGTGACTCGTCGTGCTTAAATCCAGCCAGTGAAGATTGCTAACTGCCAAACTATCGGGTTGTCCGGAAAATAATGCAGGATTTTAAGTTTTCATTAAAAAAAATCTATATAAAATATTCTGTTTACGTTTACAGGATTACTCATTTGTATGATTGTCANATGGGAAATTATTTTGATTAAAGAACATTGCTTTAAAGTAACTAGTTTCTTTTTTTTTGTTTAATACCAAAATCCTGCATTATTTTCCGGACAACCCAATACGAGGATAAGCTTAAGTACTTTAAGCAGTAAGTAAGTTTTTCATCCCAAAAAGTACATATAAACTTGTTCAGTCTTAATACAATTAAATTAAAATTAAATATTTCTGATTTTTATTTGCGTTATCTGCGTTACCATCACATCTAATTAATTAAACAAACAGAACTGCAACATTTTATCAATGGTTTTCCCTGCCTTCTTGGGTGATTTCAATCTATCCCAATGCCTTTTTTATTTCCTTGCTAAAAGGAAGAGCGATTGAAACTTCCATCCTGTAATGAATCTGAGGAATGTCACCGCTTATTTTTTTATTTGACAAGGAATGCATGACGCTCTTAAAGTTTCATCTAATAAGGAGATGTGACTTAAAAGAGTTGTCTTTCAGAATCTTTTAATGTGACTTCGTGATCCTTTACTGTGTATCATTTATTCGCACTTATGGAATCCTATTTTTTTTTTAAATTAATGTCTAAGATGTTCTTATGGGAGGTATTTTCCCCCTAAATATAATACGTTGTTAAATATGTTTCATCAATTTTTAAGGTATGATTTATTTGTTATACAGATTGCAGGAGTAAAAGAACGTTTAAAGGGATTGGTAGGAAAAAGTATAACACATGAAGTTTAAATACAAGTTTATTTACAATATTTCATTTGTACCAATATACAAACTTGTTGCTTTAAATTGTCTTTCCAGAAATAATCGTATACTACATTACACGCGAAGTAGATAGTTGTACAGATGGTGGAGAGAGAATGAAAAACGCTTAACAATTTAAGCAGCTCTTTTTAACTTCAAAGAATGACAATATTGCACTCTAAACAATTTACAATACAAACAACTATGTACAATGGAAAAAAATATAATTATTAAAATTATAATAGGAATATTGAGAGAACAACGGGCCACTCGGGGGAATGCGTTAGTGTGAAATAGTTTAATTTTGGTCCGTCAAAATAAATTTTAAAATTTCGATCAAAAGCAAAGAATTCAAATTTCAATTAATTCGGACAAAATAAATTTTTTCACCTTAAAAAGTATTGCTTTCAAAATAAGGCACCGACGAAATTTTAGTTTTTTAATGACTGTCTTTTTTTTAACTGGCAATTCAATTTTAATACAATATTACAAATTGGAATGTTATTATTTTATTGTAATGTGAGTAAATAATAATAATAATCTGTTAATACAGAAAATTTGGACGTATCAATTTTTGAATAATCTGAGGTAATTTTTAAGTTAAAAAAAATGTTTTTGAGCTTTTCTATATCCAATTAATCATCAAGTTTAGGAGGAATAAATTATAAATAATAATTTGCACTGGCCACCAGTACATTTTTCTTGTTCATCTACACAACTTAAAACAATTTGCCGATTTGGTTGTACAGACTAACTTAAAAGAAAAGGTATGGACTTGTCAAGCTTGTAAGTTTCACACAATTGTCCAATCGTCGGTGTCATCGTGTGGAACTCGGTAGCCCGTTTTGTCTGTTGTTTCTTTTTCTTCTTTTTCAGTCGTCCTTGACGGGAACTGTCGAGTGGTTGTAGAGACCTTGCGCCATGAGCTGAAGAGCCAAAGGATTTCTAGATCCGGACGCTTTCTTGATCTTGGCCCTTTTGTTCTGGAACCAAATTTTGATCTGGGCTTCGTTCAGCCCGAGCTCCGCAGCAAGGGCCTGCCGTCTTCTCTCCGTCAGGTACCTGATTGAAAAACATTATTTAGTTATTTAACAAATCCTGATATACAAAAATGGACAAATAATTCAAGCATGAATCAATTCAAAATCAATCAAACAATATTCAAGATGACACCGACAAAACTATCATATCGTGGTTCTTCACTAATTATTCTTTTTTCATGAAAGATTTTACTTTTATAATTACAATCTGATTTTAATCTTAATCTGACAAATCCTTCTTTTGCCTGATGTCTTATGTAGTTGGGCCGTATTCGTCGATTGGAGGTAGCCAGACCAACGTGATCGGAAACGACAAAAATACAGTTCAAAATTTGTATTTACTTTATAAAAAGTTTAAAAGAAAAAATATGTATCTATACAAGGTGAAGAGAAGAAATCAAATTAAAAAAATAATTGTGGGATTTATTCGGTCTGTCAGGCATGTTTGACTTTAAAACAGCTTCAGTCAGTCTATGCTCCGCCCTGCTTATAACCCAAACCGCTGAAAATAGCGAACTGCCTAAACGTATACGACAAGCAAAAATAGCAGGGTAGCCAAAACAACATGTTCAGAAGCGACAAAATTACAGAATATTCTCCGACGCAAAAAAAATCAAAATCTATGTTCTTTAAAAAAATATTTATGCAAATAAATAAAAATAAATAAATTGTGAAATTTATTCGTGAGGCTTGCTGGGCCATGAACTACTTGTAATTTGATCGTTTCGGATCATCCCTGTTTAGGTCTGTCTGACATATGTCGGCATTTCATAATTTTCTGTTGATCTATGCCTTACCCTGCTTATATCCCTGACAACCACTAAAGATGGCTATCAGCGAAACGTGTCTGTGAGAACAGAAACAATAGGGTAGGTACACCGAATGATCGGAAGCGACAAAATTACAGAATCATCAACTGGCCAAATGAAAGAAGAAATTTAAAAATGCCTGTTTAGTATGTTAATGTCAAGAAATTTTCGGAACACGGTCTGGGGTTTATAAAGAAAAAATTATCCTAACCAAAAACATAAACGATCTTCTGCAGTAATTAACTTGTAACTTGGTCTTACATAACATGTGGGTCTGTCTATCCTTATTGTTTTGGTACGAGTGTTACGGTTTCTAGCCATCTTCAGTAGTGGATTTTTGGTCTATAGATAAAACCAGTAGATGGAAAAAATGGCGAAAGTAGACGGACCAGTACTATCGGAAACGTTTAAATCACAGGTTTCTCGCCTTCTTCAATCGGTCTGTGCCTGCTTATTACCCTGTCAACATTTGAAGAAGGCTAACCGCCAAAACGCATCTGACAGACCAAAACAGCAGGGTAGTCAGACAAACGACAAAATGACAGATTCATCACCCCACAGGCCCAAAAAAGATGTTTAAACTTGTATTAAGTTTGTTAAGGATTTTAAGAAAAAATATGTTAAAAAAATAACTTGTGAAATCTATTCTCAAGATCTGCTGGATGATGAACATGTAGCTTGGATGTTCCCGATCCTCGCATTTTTTGTATTATATTCGCCATCTGAAGTTCTGTAGTCAGCGGTATATCAGGCCAAAACCGAGCAGATCAGCAAACAATAAAATTACAGCATCAAGTCGAAAATTATTCGAAACAATGGCTCATTCAAGAAAAAGCAAAATGTAATAAAATTTATAGCTTTTCCTTGCTGAAAAGGTTTTTTACTGTAAAATCATTGATACTTGATAACAAGTGCCATTAAAGTATAGTACTTTTTGTTATAGAACCGATAGGAACAATATATCCAGATGTATTGTGAGATTTCATATTGGGGTCTGCTGGTTGATGAACTGTCAACAATGAAAGAACAACGTCCCACGATTAAGGTGAAATGAGATCCAACTTTTCGCCATCTTCCGTCAGTCTGTGCTCCTCCCTGCGTATTACCCTGACAATTAATGATGATAATGATATAGCGAAACGCTTCTGACAGGCTTCAAACCAGGCTAGACGAACATGACATGACAACTGGATCTCACTTGTGGTCATTGTAGCTTGGTTGTTTCTGACCATTTTGGTCGACCGATCCTTGCTATATTGTTCGGTCATAGTTAGAGTGGAATTTTTTGTTTAGATAGATAAGTAGATAAAATCCGTAGATGGCGAAAATAGGTGGACCAGGACGATCAAAAACGACCAATCCGCATTGCTGAAGAAAAATTCAACAATCATTACTTCTCAAATTAATGATTTCAAGTTCAAGCCGAGTAAATAAATTAAGTCCTTAAAGTTCTGGGTCGACTAAAAGAAAAGTGATTATTTGGAGATCGTGAGATGCGGTTTGGTGTGACGTAGGTTTAGAAAAACATTTTCTTTATCGTGCCAACGTTTCGATTTTTATTGAGATCATCTTCAGGGCTCAAAGTGTTTGTTTTCTGTGTAAAAGTGTCATTATTGTATGTAGTGTTGAGAGTGCCCCTCGGTGAGAGTGAAACTGAAGATGATCTCAATAAAGATCGAAACGTTGGCACGATAAAGAAAATGTTTTTCTAAACCTACGTCCCACCAGACGGCATCTCACGATCTCAAAATAATCATTAATTAACGGTCACTAAACACCATACATCTGAAATTAACCTTGACCTCTTACTTGCGAGGAGTTTTTTTCTTTTTTTTTCTTTATAGGGCAAAACAATTTTTAATTGACCGATTCATGGGCATAAACTGCTTCCAAGTCTGAAGCACGAAAAATACTGCTTGTGTGTGTGTGTGTGTGTGTGTGTATGGTAGTTAACCTGGCTCTTTTTAATCATCCGTGATTTCTCTTTTTAACATTACATACTAAGATATTTATGTATACTATGAACATATATTTTTAAATAAAATTTGCATCGATGCTTACCTATTGACGTTAAATTCAGTCTTCAGTCTGGCTAATTGTTCTCCACTGAAGGCTGTACGCGGCCTTTTGTCATCCGCATTTTTCTCCTTCCTTTTTATCCTTTTCGTCCTGGGACCTGGAAAAAGTGCAAAAGCTCTGTTTTAACTGTTTAACAAACTATTAAACTCCTGCTGAACAGGCATTGGGTCACTAATTGGGTCCGTCTTCACACGTATGTTCGTTTGTTGAGTGAACACGGCCGAATAAATGACCCATTGACGGTTCAGCACGAGTTCACCGATTCACAGATCAACACCCAGCATCAAACTATTAAACGTTTATAAGCCGAGAAAACCTGTTCTGTTCTAGTAAACAATTGCACTAATTTGCGTTTAGCAGGGTGGGTGTAGCATTTAGCATCCCCCGTTTAAACGTCGTGTATAAATCAACCGGTGAAAGGCCCTGATAGGGTGAGATTTATACGTTCGACAAAGTTAGAGGCCGAGTGAATTTTGAATGCAGATCTGAGCCGAAAGAGGCTATTCGTCACATTTCACTTGAACCATTAGCCCGACTCTATCTACGGTCAGAAGTATGTTCGCACCGCCTCGTCACACTTGTTCTGTCATCATGATTAGTAGCTTAGCTTTCCCTCACAAAATAACAAGACGCACTCATACTGAATACGAAAATATTTTATTATTCCAAGTTGACGTATCATGGCCGAAGTTAAAATTCATAGCCGATGTAATTGTATTAATAGGTTAAGTTGATAGATTGACAGCCTAAACCTCAAACGATTTATATTGCAATTTAAAGCTACAGTTGTTCAATAATCTAGTAGTTATATAAATTTGAAAGATTAAACTTTGTTAAATTCGAAGCTATGAAGCGTTGAATTGTATAGATGACCTATGGAAGAAGTCGAGGTTGTGGCGCGTTTGACAGTTTGAAATCTGAGTCACGAAGCTAAGATGATAAAAATTGCAGGATTATCTCCTCGAAACCCAAGCAAAAACGCAACCGCGATTTCCCTGACAGCCACTGGTACTACTGAAATGGAGACGTCTTTGACAGGTCAACCCGCCGGGTAGCTAGACCCTGATGATCGGAAACGATAAAATTACAGGATTATCACCTCGCAAAAACCAAAACCAAATAATTCAAAATGTTTGTTACACTTGTTAAAGTTTATAAATATATTTATGCAAACAAAAAAGGTAAATTGTGACATTTATTCTTGAATTCTGCTGGGTGATAAACTTACATTTTAATTGTTTCTGGTGTGTTTCGCGATTTCGCCATCCATACTTTTCCCTAAGAATCACTGTAGAAGGCAAACTGACGAAGTGCATCTGACCACCTTAGTTCTCTAAATTTAGGTCTCTCTCTAAATTTAGGTATACCTATTCTTAAACTACCCTTAGTAAAGTGTTTGAGACTGTGACTCGACCTGCTTATTTCCCTGACAACCACTGATAATACAGAAATGGAGACACGCTTTGACAGGTCAAAACCGCAGGGTAGCCAGACCCTGATAATCGGAAACGAGAAAATTACAGGATTATCACCTCGAAAACCAAAACCAAATAATTCAAAATGTGTGTTACGTTCGTTAAAGTTTAAATAACATATTTATGCAAACAAAAAAGGTAAATTGTGACATTTATTCTTGAATTCTGCTGGTTGATAAACTTAGAGCTTAGTTGTTTCTGGTGTGTTTCGCGATTTCACCATCCGTACCTTGCCCTAAGGATCACTGTAGAAGGCAAAATGACGAAATGAATCTGACCACCTTAGTTCTCTAAATTTAGATCTCTATCTAAATATAGGTATACTAATTCTTAAACTACCCTTAGTGAAGTGTTTGAGACTGCGACTCGACCTGCTTATTTCCCTGACAACCACTGATAATACTGAAATGAAGACTGGCCTTTGACAGGTCAAAACCGCACGGTAGCTAGAACCTGACGATCGGAAACGATAAAATGACAAATTAATCATCTCCCAGAACCAAATAAGAAATTTCAAAATTTGTGACCAATGTATTAAAGTAGAGAATTTTTGCGATCATTTTCGTCTGCTTATCCTCGCTGTTTTTGTCCCACGAACTTAACGGATCTCACAACCTCGAGTTGTAAATTTTTAGGCCAGGGCGAGTAAAAACCCACAACTGTATTTTAAAAAATTGCAGATGGCAAAAAGCCGTAAACCGACCAATACAGTGAGGATAGGAAGACAGAAAATTTTTTTCAGGCACAATTTTTTTACAGATCCTGGCTTTATTACTTCGCTTTTAAATTTATAGCTATATAATACGAAATTAATAAAATTTAGGCAACGAATAATCGATAGATACAAGAGATTTGTCACAATTAAAGGTTTTGAACAGCTCTATTTATTTGTTTGATCTATCAAAAGATAAAAGTATATTTCAATAAAATTGTTCATGCCTTTTTTCACACATATTTGTTATATATTTTTTTATATATATAAAAGAATATATTATGCTTATGCCAAATATAGAAAATCCCCAAGAGTAAGTTGGTTGGAGGTTTTAGACCATTTGCAGGACTCTTTAAACTATAAAGTAAGGTTGAAAAATGACTTATTATCATAATTGAAAATAAATTTTCGACTTTTTTCTAAAAAGGGATCGCGCATTTGCATACATAAAATAAATTATAGAAACGAGTCTTTTTTTGTCCGTGTTCACAATTCAGAAGAATTAATTTTTCAAGTTTTCAAGACAGCTGTGTCCAAAGATAGTTTCGCTCGAATCTGAAACCTAAGCTTCACAGGCGTGCGTCAGAAATTGTCTTAACGTCCCCCCGACTATATAACCGCAATAAAATTCGATCCGGGCAGAGATAGAAAGGCCGAAATACAACCCGCCTGGAACGATATATTTCCAAAAAGATTTACTGTCAAACGAGCAGGGTCCGAATTGTCATTAGAGCTCTAGTGGGCGCAATCAACCCTGATAGATGAATAAAAAATTCCCCCCGGTGATTTGATTGAAAAGGATAAGGCGTATCGTGTTGAGATGTTTGTAATTTGGAGTTGGACCACCAGAGAAGAAGTGGCAAGTGTCCCACTAATAGGCCACAAGATATCTATCTGTGAAGCTTCCCGTTCCCTTTTCATTATTCGCTTCACCAGCCATCCGACTTTTTTTCACCGTCTTTATACAGACGCCTTTACGCTTCCGGCTCACCGTTTTCACTTATCCGATCCTTATCGCCCCTTTTACTCGACTTCTCGCGACACCCACACCCGAAGAGTCTTTGAAAGAAACAATACAGTCAAATTTAATTTTCTTACATTAACCGTGAATTCGGCGTTTGTTTAAAATTCTTTCCGATTTACAGTATCACGTTTTTTCTATTTCATGTTTCAGGAAATAACACGGGAAAGATAAAAATGGCTATAGACGAGTTTTAGCATTTACTTCACGGCCATATTGCTCAAACCCGCAAAATTCTTTTATAATAAAATTTTGGCATTATTCACCACGACTTAGCAACTGATGATGTATGAGCTCTCCACACTGAACTGCAAAATTTTTGAAAGAATGTAGGCCACATTGACATGTCACAGAATTTCGTTAACGGAAGAATTCTGTTCCAGAAAGATAACACTCATCCACTTTCTTACGAACCAAAAAAAGGTTAGAGTATGGGATAGACCTACCGCTTCACCCGCCATATGGTCCAGACGTATGTCAACATTCCGTTAATTGCGGGAAGGTGAAAAGGGCGAGACTGATCTTTTATGAACTTACGACCTAGCAATGATCTGATATTGTAGAAATTTGCAAAATCAAAGAAAAAAAAAACAATGTACTATACGATTTTAAAAAATGATGTCAAGGCTAGATCGTGGTCAAATGGCTTTTCAAAATTCAATTGTGAAAAAGAAACCACGCTGTGCTTTTTTTGGAATTATTCATCACGAGTTTTCTCATGTTGTTCTATGAACTCTGCACTCTGAACTGCGAAAACTTAGAAAGGCGAAAACAGGACTTAGTTAACAGCAGAGTCCTGTTCCAGAAAAATTTCGCTGGTCGACGGACGACCTGTGGACTAAGGAAAGGTATTGATGAGAGAAGATAGAAGAGTATTTTCATGGGATCGAGTTACCGCTACACCCGCCATATATCCCAGACGCAGTCTCGCCGTATCAAAATACCGTTAATTGCGGTGTTCAAGGCATGGGAAGATGAAAAAGATCTTTAAAATGATCCTGTATGAACCTCAATCTAATATAAGATTTTAACAGAAAATGACACTTTTTAATGAAAAGTGCGCTTGCTGTCGTCATCCAGACGACCGTGAGCAAAGGCTAGGTCGGAACTCGTACTACATTCCCGGTAAAGTCCAAACTTTGCTCCGTCAAAAGACCCCGCCATGAGAAGGAAAAAGTGCCTTTTGGCAGGTCCTGCATGAACTTATGTTCCAGCAACCCACTAAGAAATTAGACCCTCAATGTCCCCAAATCTTCATACCAGAGGACAACTAGACCGCAGACCAGTTGCAACAATAGAACAATATGGAAAAATCTATAATCTATGCTTTTGTTCTTTTTTTTAATACATGTTCATCACGGGTCGCTGATGGATGTTATTTGACCTCTTGAACTTGAATTGTCAGTGTGATACTCAGGTTTAACTAACGGTCTGACCTCGATCCTTCAGCTTACGACGCGTTCCGATGGCCCTCTTTGTCCTGGAGAAAAAGCTAGGAAAATGCTGTATCTGATTCTACTCCAAACCGCAAGTAATAGTGCCAGCGTGAGATAGAGCAACTGGCTGGAATATGGTTAATAAACCCAGCAACCCTTCTGTTCTACCACGGAATTAGGTCAAACACCTGCAACTTCGCCAAAAAAATCTTGACTAAACTTACCCTTCCGCAGCAATAGGGACAGAACATAGGGCGACTACAGGTTAGTCTTAGCATTACTGACTCAATAAGTATTTGACAGAACCCAGCAGAAGATAGTTTGTATATGTTCTACGAACAAAAACAGAAAATAGCAGCACATATATGATGTGAAGCTGTGAAGGCCTAGTAAATAAAAGTTTTATATTCACAGGACGAAGAAAACTAAATAAAAAAACCGTCTTCTGAGCAG